CTGTAACAAGAGACACAAACTTGGCCAAATGACTAAAGGGCATCTGTAAGGGATGTCCCTATCCTAGCCCTCTGTTGTGGCTACACAGGATTCCAGGATATATGAAAAATGTAAAACCACCTTCCTCCAACACTTCTAGATTGTCACTCCATTTTCAGCATTGGAAAACCATACATAAACGAGGCTTTTTCTTACTAACAGAGCCTAGTCTCTACTCTCCTATGGATGCCTTATATGCCAGAAAGTCAAACTGTGGTTTTTTAAATTTCACTGTATTTTCCTTTTGATTTGCTCACATAAGTGGTGTATAAGTATCTATGTTCTATCATATCTAAAAGAGATCAATATAAATACGTATTACGTATATGCCTATTTAGCAAGAATGTAGTTTTTCATAGTTAAATTTACAGTATATTTTCTCAGCGGTAGATAAAACTGCATTTTACAACCATCTTAAATTGACATCTTAAATTCCATGAAACGAGGCAGTTAGCTTAAGTCAACACCCCTTCTTATTCCGCTGTACTGCAACCAATATCACGTTTTTGTGTCATGTGGTTATGTTACAGCATCACCTATTTTTGCATTTCTTAATATATCTTCAAGTTCATTTACTATAATTTTATGAGACTGTGTTTGTTTTTTAGAGAAGGACCTGCTTTAGATAGAGGGCTCTGAAGTAAAACCCCAATCAGGGGCAGTCCGAGATCTACACTAAGTAGGAGAAGGCTTTTTTCAAATTATTACATATAGCCCAAGTCCCTATTTATAACACACACAGAAAAAGTCCCACTGAACTCTTTACAATACCAAGTAAATCCTTGCAATTAACGTAAACTGTGTGAGAGAGAGGGGAGGAGCTTTGTTTCCCATTTTGTAGTTCCTTAAGGATGCTAATGACGCTTAATCCTAAACCCCTGAGAAGAACTAGGGTATAAGGTGAAAACTCAAAACTAAGAACCCTGAGAGACTAGACTCTGGTATGCCCGCTTTCTCTGATTATCCTGGGGACTTACTGCACACTTTGTCAAGCTTCTCAGTTCTCCACATCAGGGACACATCTTGGGACACAGGCTGTAGTAAACAACCCTGAAACTTGACAACTATTAAGTCATCCTGAGTACCTCCTGTATTTCTAACTCGGATAGTAAAAAATTCTTAGAATCCTGGCTTCAGACCTCATGAAGCCAGACTGAAGCCACCCATACCGGGTTTAAAAGTACAAAGGTATGAAAGAGGAGGAAAACAGACTGAGGGGGCAGGGGGATGCAGCCTCTCTCTAAGGAAAGGCCTCCAGGCTTCCGGACGTTTTCGTGAATTCTCCCTCCAGCATTAGGACAAGTAGGACTACCCACAACTGTGTTCCAACCCACTTCCAGGAACCTGCCCTAGCTGTAGCCAGAATCCAGAGTGTTCTCGAAAAGCACTCACTCAGCAGCTCCCTTGGCTAGTCCGGACTGGCAATCTCGAGCCACTGCGGCTGCCCAGCGGTGCCAACAGCGCCCAAGCAGTTGCCCTCCTCTCTGTTCAACCTAAGAAAGAGCAGTCCTCGGAAGAATGAGGATCTCACTCCGGAAGGACGCAAGGGCAGGAGTCTGACGTGTAGAGCACGAGACAAGGCCCCCACTCTTCCTTCTTTCTCTCCCAGCTCCGACTTCTGGGGTACGGGGAGGGGACCCCCAGGTCAATAAGGGAGCCACACTCGGACCTAGGCTAGTGGTCACTGGGGCCTATCACTGAGGAACGGGGCTGAGGAGACCAGGGAGTAAGGAGAACACGGGCTTGGGAGATGCAAAGTGCCGACAGACAACAATGCACAGAAGTCAACCAGGGAAGGCGGGGGTCGGGGGCGATGCGAGGAAGTCGTCATAGTCGCCGCGCAGCCTCCCCCACCTCACAACAGATCCCTGAGACTCCCAACACCCGGCCTCTACCGTAAGGGCGACGTTCCTCTCTGCCAGAGAACGAGGCCGTGCCTCAGCTCCCCAGCCAGGCGGAAGCAGGAGGGGAGGGCCGACCTCCGGGAGCGCCCCTTCAGGGGGTCTCAGATGGCGGGGGAGGGGGGTCGCGGAGGGCGGGGCATCGCCTCAGCGGGGGCTGCATCATGGCAGGGACCGGTTTCCCGGAGTCAAGGAGCTGAAGCTCGCGCCTTCCACTACCCTGCTACCCGGTTACCTCTTCGCTTCCTCGTCGTCGAGCAGCTCTGGCTCGGTCGCCGCCATTACCACATCGCACTCCGCGGCAGCCGCCATCTTACCGCCGGGACCAGAGAGGCGGGTGGGAGGCAGGCGGTGAAGAGCACTTCCGGCTGGAGCATCGAGCAGCTCAGCGGCGCTGCGCCCAGAGGGGCTCCCTCGGGCCCGTCTACCAGCGAGAGGCTCCGCTTGGGGCCAGAGCGGCCTCCCGCCCCCGGACGTCCACGGTGGTCTCCGCGCCGGGGCGGGGGCCCAGGAACGGTTCCTGTGCGTAGGGGGCGCCACTTTATCCGTGGGTCGGAAGTGGGGGGTAGAGGAGGTTGGCGCCTCTCTAGGCCTGAGCTCTTCTCAGTATGCTGAGAGCTTCGTTGCCATAGCAACTTCCGATCCTAGAGCGTCTCCAGTTAAGGTTCAGGAGAGTCTGAGTTGGGTTGAGGACTCGATGACCCAGGACCCTGGAGGGAAAGGTTCCCCCACTACTACCTTCTCGACCTCGGAGTGTGTCCGCAGCTTCCTCCCGGGAAAGGCAGGAAGACACACTTTGAGCCCAGTTCCCTCAGCTTTCATCGGCCCTTGGAAGCCCTGCCCAACCAAGCCAGGGGAACGCAGGGCGTCTTCACCCCGCGCCTTTCATCCCCTCTGGATCTCCAAGCAACAACTGGTTCATCACCCTAATGACGCTGAGCCTTTTATGAGGCTGCTTTCATGTCAGCTGCCTAGGAGTGCCATCTCAGCATTAAGCCTAGGGAGGGTGGCACGGCGCCCCCGACCCTGCCCTGGAGTTTATAAGGCAGCTCGCAGGGTGAGGTCCCTGCTCCATAGTGTCCCCAGGTCTCTCACTCTTTATAGAAATACCCTGCTCAGCACGCTTGTCTTGCCGACTGCAGTCTGGACTGGGAACTCAGAGAGGGCAAGGACACAGCCTAGTCTTTGTAGTACCTCCCTCACCCAAACCGACAGTATTTGTGGAGTTTGACTAAACTGGGGCTTTCTGAGGTTAAATTGGGGGAGTTTGAGGTTAAAAAAGTTAAGGGGAACTAAAATAAGGGAGCAAGTGAATTTAAAAAAAAAAGGATCGACTCCTTTTCTCCATTCTTCCATAGCATGTGCCATTCTTAGTAGGCTTCTTAGGTCTTCCTATCACAGAGCTAAGAGAGCAGAAGCCACACCCACCACCGGGTAAGGAAGGATGAGAGAGGCTCAGTGGGTGGGAAGAGAGAAGTCATTCATCCAGCCAATCATTCACTAGCCTCTCCAAAGTGCCTACTTTGTGCTAGGTTGGGAGGGCACAGACTCAAAGACCACCTGCCCTGTCAACCAATGGCTCACAGTCTGCGGTTTACTGCAGGATTTGCCAACTTGTCTTTAGACCATCTTCCCACTGTGTTCTTTGCATCTAAACCAACTCATTTACTCTCATAGCTTTAATTTTAGCTGTAGATGACCCTCAACTCTGTTGATATTTCCAGCCTGGATTTCTCAGTTGTAATTTCTAGATCTGTATATCCAACTAGCTACTGGATCTCTTGGGTGTTTCACAAATCCTGGAGACATAACATATTGAAGTTGAACTTGTAGTTCTCTCCCCACTCTTCGACAAAGGAAAAAACAAATGCTATGCTTGATTCTCTTTTCCTGAATTCCTTATCTTGTCAAATTGATTCACCATTCAACTGGTCACCCAATGAGAAAGATAGGAGACTCCATAAATGCCTTCTTTCTCACTCCTGATTCCCAAATTATCACCAAGTCTTGTTGATTCTCCTATATTTCTCCATATAGTCTCCCAACTGGCCCCCAGTCTCATCTCTCTCTCTTTCACTCTTCTGTCAATGACTTACTTTCTTTCTTTCTTTCTTTCTTTCTTTCTTTCTTTCTTTTTTTGTCAAGGACTTTCTTAAAAGCAAAAACTGATCATGTCACTTCATTGGCATAAAATCTATCAGTGGCTTTCCACTGCTGTTAGGATACAGTTTGAGGGCAGCCCTGGTGGCTCAGCGGTTTAGCGCCACCTTCGGCCCAGGGCATGATCCTGGAGACCCGGGAACGAGTCCCGCGTTGGGTTTCCTGCATGGATCCTGCTTATCCCTCTGCCTGTGTCTCTGCCTCTCTCTGTGTCTCTCGTGAATGAGTAAATAAAATTTTTTTTAAAAAAAGGATACAGTTTGAACTTGACCTACCATACCCAGTCTTTGGTTATTTGCCTCCTTTCCACCATCAATATTGACTCCCCAAATACTTGTAGTTCCAGAAAATGCCATGATTTTTTTTTTTTTTTGCCAGTTTCCTCCACTCTTTTCTTCCACACCGTTCAAATCTCAAAGCTGACATAACGTCCTCCAGGAAGTTTTCTGTGATGCCCGCTGTCCCTGAAGTTAAATGCCCCTTGCTGTGCTCCCATAGCACTTCCATAATAATTCTCACCGTGCTGCCCTGTAATTGTTGGTTTAGATGTCTAGCTCCTCTAGACGGTGACGTTCTAATGAGCAGGTACCCTGTCTAATTCGTCCATTTTTCTCAGTATGTGGTTTTATGCCTGATCAGAGTAGGTGCTCCGAAGACATCTGACTAATAAGCGATTGAATAAAAGAAGTGCTGCTGCACTATGGCAGCCTTTAGAAAAAGAACATTTGGGCATCAGAGACACGGGCCACCCCGCGTCCAGGGAGCTCAGGTGCGCTCAGGTGCACAGCAGCCCAGGTGCCGTCATTCTCCCCGCCGGCCTGTGGGGGCGCTGTGTGCCCGTCCCCGGCTGGCCGCCGCCGGAATTGGTCCTGCCGGACGGAAGCTGGGGGGCGGGGCCAGTCGGAGCCTGGAAGGACCTGGGAGCCGCCGAGCGCTTGTGGCTGTGCTGCCCCTCCCTGGTCCCGGTGCGCCTGGAGGGGCCCGGCCCGGGAGCTGCGAGGGCTCCGGGAGGTACGGAGCGGGGAGGCCGCCGCGTCCGGACTGCCTTAGGAGGCGGGTCCCTGCCTCCGATCCCCCGGGGGGGCCCCCCTCGAGGGCAATCGGTGGCCGAAGCGCCTCTGGCAGTCTCTCCCGGGGGTATCCCGTAGTGGCAGGGCCCAGGATGTAGGATCCCGAGGAGGGAGGAGGGGTCTGTATCCGGAGTTTTCTCGAGAAGTGTCTGAGACACCACATCTGTATCTGCTCCCCGGGGCAGTCGAGGTCAGGGGTTCCTCCTGGGAAGCCTGTGTTGGGAATGCCTCGGACGAGATCTCTGTCTGGGACCTCTCCGGAGAAGGGATTTCTGAGTCTGAGCCTCCTCCTCCGGGCTTGTCGGTTCAAGGGCAGACACAGATTTTTCCTCTCCGAAGCCTTTTTCCCCTTAGTTTTTTTTTTCCCCCCACTCTTTTCTTGTGCGATGTTCTTTATCTTAGCCACGGACTTGACTGGGAATTAGAGGGAATTAATTGTGGTCCAGATAAGTCATACAGGAAAGCAAAGTACCCTCCTTATTTGCTCAGTCTCCTCGAAGAGTGGCTTAAGACAGATGCACCCAAAACAGCATTCCTGCTTATTTCTCCGTGGAGTCCTGCTTCAAGACAGGAAGCTGAGCCAGAGCTCCCTTCAGCAACTGGTCCTCCACATCCTGTGCACAGAAGGGAAGTGGACAGTGATTCCTTTAAACCAGAAACTGTCTCCCCCCCCCCCCCGCCCACCTTTGTGGCATTTACCAAGAACCTGCCGTGAGCCAGTTACTGGCCATGTACTGGCTATGACAAAGGTGCATAAAGTATAGCTCACTGTCCAGGAGCAGGACATAGACGCATCATTCCAATACGCCCTGACCAGAGTGGGGGACAGACTGCTGAATCCCTAAGGCTGTGTATTTAGCCCTCTGTTTTCATCCCACCTCATACATTGTGCTCCTGTCTTTCAAGGCCGAAGGCTAAGCATGGGGAAGAGCTGCAAGGTGGTCGTGTGTGGCCAAGCATCTGTGGGCAAAACTTCCATCCTGGAGCAGCTTCTGTATGGGAACCATGTAGTAGGTGAGTGTTGTTGGGGGTCACAGCACAGTGCAAGACATGAAGAATAAGTAGGATGCGATCACAACATGAAAAGGCTAAAAGCTGGTGGTGGTGGCTGTTGTACAACAAAGAGTGAAATCTGCATAATGACCCCAACCCTAGCATGTTGAAATCCGGAGAGAGGAAACCCAGTGTTTGACATAGGGAGGGAAAGGTCTCAAGTCACACTTTTGCTTAGCACGGGATTAACATGAGATTAATGTCTGTTCCTCCCAAGTCATCTAGTCGTGCCGGCCTGTTGTCAATTCCTGGCCCTCTCTCTCCTCAGCCACACATTCCTTTCCATCCCTGTCTGGTAAGGCTGTTACACTCAGGTATCCCATTTTCCATCTCTCTGCAAACAAGTTTTCTCTTCATTTTGTCCCAGGTTCTGAGATGATTGAGACCCAGGAAGACATCTATGTGGGCTCCATTGAGACCGACCGGGGGGTGAGGGAGCAAGTGCGTTTCTACGACACCCGGGGGCTCCGAGATGGGGCTGAGCTGCCCCGGCACTGCTTCTCCTGCACTGATGGCTATGTCCTGGTCTACAGTACGGACAGCCGAGAGTCCTTTCAGCGTGTGGAGCTCCTCAAGAAGGAGATCGACAAGTCCAAGGACAAGAAGGAGGTGCGTGGGAGGGGATCGGGGAGGACACTAGTGATGAGATGGAGTGGGCCTTGGGCTGGTTTTGGGGAGCCTGGCATGACTCTGTTTTTCATTCATATCCCAGGAGGTGGGGTAGGGGCTAGAGGTGGATGGAGGCCACTAGAGGCTGTCTTCCTCCTGGAGGTGGCCATGTGTTGAAGCAGCTTAACCAGAGAGGTTCCTTTTTTTTTTTTTTTTAATTTTTATTTATTTATGATAGTGACACAAAGAGAGAGAGAGGCAGAGACACAGGCAGAAGGAGAAGCAGGCTCCATGCACCGGGAGCCCGACGTGGGATTCAATCCCGGGTCTCCAGGATCACGCCCTGGGCCAAAGGCAGGCGCTAAACCGCTGCGCCACCCAGGGATCCCACCAGAGAGGTTCCTGACCCAACCCCAGAAGCCCCCACTAATCTTTCTTTATGATGATTCCTTGCTCTTAGCTGTGAAGGCTCTTTGGTTCCCAAATCCCCCTTTAAGCTGCCGGCATTTGGGGGCTGCTCCTTCACCAGTTAACAGACTGATTGTTAGTAATGAGCAGGCATAGGTGATACAGGGCTTGTAAGGGAACTCCTGAAGGGACGGCCAGATGGAGGCCAGAATTTAAACAGAGGTAGGAGAGGACAAAGCAATCACCTCCCTCTCCCCAGTCATTGTTTCTAACATAGAAAGATGTGAAACATTAACCGTTCAGACTTCCCCTTCTCTTAGGACTCCTAGGTAGTTGCCAGGGATCAACCGAAACCCAAGGTCCGTGGTGCATCCTCAGGCCTCTACTCTGTCCCTCTTCCCTAGGTCACCATCGTGGTCCTTGGCAACAAGTGTGACCTACAGGAGCAGCGGCGTGTAGACCCAGACGTGGCTCAGCACTGGGCCAAGTCCGAGAAGGTGAAGCTGTGGGAGGTGTCTGTGGCCGACCGCCGCTCTCTGCTGGAGCCCTTCGTCTACCTGGCCAGCAAGATGACCCAACCTCAGAGCAAGTCTGCTTTCCCTCTCAGCCGCAAGAACAAGGGCAGCGGCTCCTTGGATGGCTGAAGAGCTGCCATCCCTTCTCCACCTTCCCAGCCTCATTCTGGCTTCTGGGGCTCTGGAAGATATTCTCCAGGGGTGGGGTTAGGCAAGCTATCCTTCCCAGGCCAGGCAGCTGGGCTGTCCCAGGCTCAGGTCACTTTTTGTTCCCTCCCAACTCTGGGAAGTGCCGATAATCTAGGCTAGTGCCCCCAAATCCTCCCTCCCTTCCAGCTTTCATGTTACCAACCCTGCTGCCATCTGGGGCAGTTGTGGATCAATGTCCCCTACCACCTGCCCTGGATAGGAAGCAGAGCTGCCCTGCAGAAGTGCCCAGTACAGTCTCTGGTTCCTATCACAGGGGTCCCCCACTTGTGGGCTTCCTGGCCAGTGACAGACAGACACAGCCTCACACACTCACACTTATGGCACCAGCCTGGACTCCAGAGAAAGGTGTCCGGGCATCACGTATGTGCGTGTAGATATGTACACATGCGCATGTGTATGCGTGCTGGTGTCCAACTCCAACACCCTGATCTTCTGTCCTCTCCTTGGCTGGAAGAAGCCAGCCTCCTGGGAAGTGTAATTTTTGGCTTTAACTCTTCCCCACCCCCAACCTCCCAGTTGTTTTACTTCCTCTTCCTGCTCAGGGAGCACACAGCCCTTGGCCCCCTCATTGGCGAGATGGGATGGAATGATGGCTGGGCTTCACCCGCTGGCTTTGGGACCCTGCAAGGCCTTTCCCCCTCTCTGGGTTTCAGTTTTCTCATCTGTAATGTGATGGGAGTTGTTTAAACCGGATCTCTCTGGATCCTCTCCAGCCCTCTGATTTGATCCTGCCTGCAGCTTTGGGCTGGCTGTTCCTGTTCCCTCCGCTTCTCCCTCTTCAAGGTGCTATGCCTACGGGCGCTGGAGGCTGAGACACTGCTCCCCACAACCACCAGGGGGCAGGAGTGCCCGCCCAGTGTCCGATCAGTGGACCTCATACTGGTGGGGCCTGGTCTTCACCCCTTCCTGTGGTTGTTTTCAGCTAATAGGTGGACTTCTATTTATAAATTACCTGTGTTTCTATGCCTGCTGCCATGGTGAAGGCTGGACACGGTGCTCCTCTAGCCTTTCCTTACCTCAGATGCCTGAACAGAACAAGGCAAACCAGTAGCAGCTTCTCAGAGCTGACAGATCTGTCGGGGCTCAGAAGGGTGGTTACACTTTCAACATGCTATAAAGTGAGCTTGTCACCCACAGCTTCCCGTGTCCACTTCATGCTTCTAATGTGCACACCCAGCGTAGATGAGACACTAGAGCCAGGTGACCTCTAGTACCCGCCCCTTCTCCCCAAAATGGGAGAGGTGAGCAGGGCAGGCAGCCCAGGGCTGGGCGAGTCAAAATAGGGCATAGACAGGCTCGGGCTTGAACTCATTTATTGATGCGTTGGACACAAATAAAACCACAACTGTTATCAAAAAGTTTCCCTCCCCTCCCCCCTTCCTGTCCTCCCTTGGAAATCTCTAAAAAAAGAAAAGATACAGGTGGATACTGGCAAAGTCCCATATTGTGGGGTGAAGGAGCAGTGCTGGGGGGTGGGACGGAGGTTGTAATGTTAACTTTGACAGCATGAAAATGGGTCTTGAGAGTATGTCAGCCTGGATCCCAACACTCAGCTTCACAGTGAGGGAGCTGGGTGCTGCTTGCAAGGAGGCAAAGCTGGATTTAGTGTTAGGGACCAGTTTGGGGTGAGGAGCTGGAGGGAAAGCTCTTTGGGAGCCCTGGCAGGGGGGTTGGTGTTAGTTGTGTCCAGAGTCTGAGGGAGACCTAGTGTGCCCTCCCACCCACCTGGGGTTCACCAGGAATCAATGAAAGGCTGAGAGGAGAGCTTGTGTGGGGTTGATCACCCCTGTTAAAACTGGGCCCAGCCAGAGAAATCACCCCACCTACCTCTCTCCTACCCCATCTTGTCAGCAAAGGAACCCAAAAAGCTTTCAGCCCCAGCCCCACCTTGCCTTTGCCCCCACTAAAACTGCTCCCTTTCTCCTCCACGGTCTTCTACTCCCCTGGGGTCACCTTGTCCAAATAGCCTTGAACCCTCTCCAGCTTGAGACCCCATCTGCCACCTCCAATGATTCTCCAGAGAATCCAGTGAATGGGGAGGGCCTCCACAGACTTGTCCCCAGGCTCAAAGGTAATATTCCTAGGGCCTCTGGCCATGGGAGTATAAGTCTCAAGATGGGGAAATGAGAGCACCATGGGGCTGGGGTTAGGGTTTTGCATAGATCTCTGGGATTTCTCAGTTTGTTCCCATAAATCAGTCTGGGCAATGCAGGGGAGCCCAGCACTAGCCTGAGAAGGGTGGGGATAGAAGGTCCTTGGGCCAGGAGGGTAGTAGTGGAATCCCTAGTCCAGACTGTGTAAAGGGCAGGTGCCCTTGAAACTAGCCTAGCTCTTCCTAGATTGGGCAGGAAGTCCTAGGCTGTACAAGGCAGTCTCTTGGGGGATGGAGGAAACTGAGGCATCTGGGGAAGTAGAGCCAGGACAGTGACCGCTGGGAAATGAGTCCTGGCCTCCTCAGAAGCCTAGTAGGGGGCAAAGACGATGGGCCCTGTGGCAGGGCGGACGGCTCCTGCTGGGGTACGGAACAGAGCCGGGCCCAGGATGGGAGCTGGGAAGAGTGTGGTGGCTGCTGTGGGGGCAGGCCGGAGGGCCAGGGGCCCTGGCAGGGCACAGATGGCTGCGGCCGCAGCAGGGATCGGGCTGGGCAGGAAGCGGGCTGCTAGCGTCTTGGTGAGTTGCTTCTGCAAGGCCAGTTTCGACTGTAGAGAGGAGAAAGAGGAATGGACATGGTCTGACCCAGGAAAGTCCCATCCCTCCCAGGGCTCCATCCTTGGGCTTTCTGCTGCAGGAAAGACGTGCCTTTTAGGGTTCCAAACCTAAATCCTCCCTTCCCACCCCCAAACACTCATTCCAAAGGGCTTTCTCCACCACCTGTCTTCCTGCCCAGAGGAAGGAGGCTATGGGGAGTGGGGGGGCAGAGATGGTCTCTAGGGGATGCACGCCCACCCCTTGCTCTTGACCTTGAGATTACTATCTCAGCCCACCCCCCCACCCCCACCCCGGAAATTCCTCTGGGCAGATCCCAAGATGGCCAACCACCCCCCCCCCAGCTCTTCCTGGGCCCAGGCAGCCTTGGGGGAGGGAGTGGCTGCCTTCCTGCCTTCCTGCCCCACCCCCCTTCCCCCCTCAATCTCCCCAGCATGCCCTTCTGGCCCACCCTCTCCCCTCCTGACCCAGGGGCCCAGCCCTATTGCCTGGAGACAGATACCTTGAGGATACTCACAGCCAGCGCTGCATGCTTCTGCAGCTTGCTGTGCTGGCTGGAGGGCTTGGGGGGCTTCCCAGCCAGGCGGTCTTTGTGCCTCCTGCTGCTCAGGTGCTAATGGACAGATAGACAGACTGGCAACAGGATGAGGAACCCCAAGGATCCCGAAACTACTGTTATCACCCTAGACTGGCTAACCCATCCTCCACCCATGAGTCACATGTTAGATGCACATTTACGGGGTGTCACCTTTGGAAGGGGAGGTAAATCTTAGCCTTTGCCCTCCAGGAGCCCACTGTCCCTCCAGCCTTCCGCCTCCTCCTCTGCTTGCTCCCCCCTGGCACCCAACACCAGTCCCACCCCCTCAGCCCTGCTCCAGCCCCAGTCCCAGGCCTCACTTCTCCCACCTGCTTGAGTTGGGTCTCTGAATTGACCTGGAGCTGACACAGAGCACAGTGAAAAGGGGCGCTGGGCCCCTGTCGGCCCCCCTGGCCCCCTGCCACTCTCTTGGCCTTGTGTCCAGCTCCCCGGGGCACTGGGCGGCCCCGGCCCCTTCGGGGAACACCTCGCTGACCTTCCACCATCCACCGGTGCTTGGCTCCTGAGGGAGGAGAGAAGATAGCCCATCAGCACTGAAGAGGGGCTCCAAGGGCCATGGAGACCCCCTCCGAACTAGGTCAGTCTGGCTGCCCCGCTGAGCCTCCAGGCTGCTCTGCACCTGCTCTCCCTTCCGGCCACCTGAACGTTCTCTTCCCCACCTCTGCAAGGTCCTCCCAGCTACTGTCACTTCCGGCCAGCCTCCTCCCACCCTTTTCTCATGCCTTCTCCTGGATCCAACCTAAGGACAGATGGAGGAGGTGCTTCCCACCTTCTCCCAGTGACCCTTCAGCTCCTGCTGCCCCAGACTTCTCTTCTTAATTCTCCTACCTCAAGCATTAGCTGGAAGACCCAGAATGCCCACCCAATCACTGCTGAACACAATGCCTGTGTCACCAAGCCCTTAAGCAAAGTGCCCAGAAACTCCAGCCTGCCTGCAGCTGGCGAGAGCAGATGGCCTGCTCCTCTCCTCCCCTAGACTCCAGCACACTGACCTGTGTTGTGAGCCTGAAGCTGAGAGGCAGAGTTCACGGTCACCTTGCACGTGGGACAGTAGAGGCGCCCCTTCTCGCCCCTGCCCTCCCCACTCACACCACTTCCCACAGCAGCTGCTGCTGGCTCAGGCCCTGGTGCCTCTCTCCCAGGCTCCGGGGAGCAGGGCGGGCAGGAGGAAGAAGAGGAAGAGGAGGCATGATCCAAGAGGTCTGAGTGGGCCGGCTCCCTGGGTGTGGGGTCTGGAGTCAGCGGTGGCTGGAGTTGGGGGCCAGGAGGAGGGGCTGCAGGAACTGCTGGGGAGATGGAAGGCATCAAGTAAGAATCATCTTGAGACCATGATTTTAAGTAGTGGTATTACTGGGGGTGGCATGGCAGAGTGGAGGTGTCCCTGATGTAGGGATGGCCAGCATGAATTCCAGACCCCACTCTCCCACCAACTCACTGGGCAGACCTGGGCCTCTAAGCCTCAACTTCCCCATCTGAACATATAAAGTTGACAGAGGGGTCTCAGAAAGCCCTCATAGCCAATACTTTACAGAATTGTTAGCTAACTGTTAATTAAGTGGAAGTCACCAAAAATATGCACTGGAATATTCATAGAGCGATATTCATAATAGCATAAAACTGGAAACTTTCCAGGGTGCCTGGGTGCCTCAGTCGGCTGAGCATCTGCCTTTTCGGCTCAGGTCTTTTCTTTTTTTTTTTTTTAAGATTTTATTTATTCATATTCATGAGCAACACAGAGAGAGAGAGAGGCAGAGACACAGGCAGAGCGAGAAGCAGGCTCCATGCAGGGAGTCCGAAGTGGGACTTGATCTTGGATCTCCAGGATCACACCCTGGGCTGAACACGGCGCCAAACCGCTGGGCCACCCACCAGGGCTGCCTTTGGCTCAGGTCTTGATCTCAGGGTCCTGGCATGGAGCCCCGTGTCCCGCTCCACGCTTAGTGGGAAGACTGCTTCTCCCTCTCCCTCTGCTCCTCCCCACCCGGCTTATGCTCTCTCTTTCTCTCTTAAATAAATAAAATCTTAAAAAAAAAAAAAAGACAAAACTGGAAACTATCCAAATGGCCATAAAAGGAGAATATATTTTTAAAAAGAGTGTATGGTTTCTTAAAAGAGCTCTACTCAAAAAAGAGAGAGAGAGAGAGAGAGCTCTACTCAGCAATGAAAAAGACAAACTACAGCTACACGGAACAATACAGAAGCCAGACACAAAACCTCCATACTCAGGAGTCATCAAAACCAGGGGCAACTGATCGATGGCAGAAAAGTCAAGATTCTCTGGAGAGGGGTGTTGGTTGTTAAATAGTGTCACCCCAAAATTCACATCTGCCCGAAACCTCAGAGTGTGATCTTATTGGGAACCACGGTCTTTGCAGATATTAAGTAGTTAAAATGAAATCATGGTGGACCGGGGTGAGCCCTAATCCAATGACTGGTGTCCTTATAAGAAGACCATGTGGAAATAAAATAGGATAAAAACAGAGGAGGAGACAGACCACAAGAGAGTCTTAACTCTAGGAAACAAACAGGATTGCTGGAGGGGAGGGAGGTTGCTGGTGAGGTAACTTGGTGATGGGCATTGAGGAGGGCATTTGATATAATGAGCACTGGGTATTAATTATATGCAACTGATGAACCACTAAATTCTACCCCCAAATTAATAATATACTACATGTTAACTAACAACTTAAATAAAACAAAACAAGACCATGTGGAGACACCGAGACACGGGGAGAACGTGATGTGAAGACAGAGGCAGAGATTGGGGGGAACGCATCTATAAGCCAAGGAACACCAAGGATGGCCAGCAACCACCAGAAGCTAGAAGAGAGGCATGGGACAGATTTTCCTCTGAGCCCCCACAAAGGAATCAACCCCAGTCACCCCTGACTTCAAACTTCTCACCTCCAGAACTATGAGAAAGCAAATGTCTCTTGTTTTCAGCCACCCAGTGTGGTCAATCACTATAGTAGCCCTGGGAAGCTAATACAACAAGGTAGTGACTGGGAGGAGGCCCTGGGAGGGCTTCTGGATGCTTGTGTCTGGTTTCTTGATCTCAGTATTTTCAGACTGGGAAAGTTTATTGAGCTCAACACTTATGATCTGTGCCTTTCTCTGTATGTATGGGCTATCCCAACACAAGCAAAAATAAAAAGCAGAAAGCTCCCAAACCCTCACCAGAAAACAGATTCGGACTGGGGAGTGGGGAGGAGTGGGGAAGAGTTCAGGACTGACCTTTGCTCTGCGGCTCTCCAGGGGATCCACTGGCTGGAGTCGGGGTTGGGGACACCAGCACCCCATCCCGGGCCAGGGTTTGTGGCCTCTGTTTGCTCTTGGCAGCTTCAACAGCCTTGAGTTTTCTGGCATGTTTGTGGCCTTTGTAATGTGCTTCGGCTTGATTCTGAGGAGGGGAGGGCTTGGGGTCACCATTTATTTGTTGAATCTGCATGCCCCCTCCATGAGCTGGAGGAAGGGCTCCCGCCAGACAAGAGGTGAATCCTTGTCATCACAGCTTGTGTGTGGCCCTAGGGTTTATAGAACTCATTCTCATACATGAGCCCCCAGCAAGCAGCCTCTGTCTTCCAATTCTGTCTCAGCCACTTATTAGCTGTGTGTCTCTGGGCTAGTTGCCTCACCTCTCTGAACCTCAGTTTGCTGACTCGTAAACTTTGTGGCAATAGTGACCTCACAGGGTTGTAAGAATTAAAAAGAACATGAAGAGCGCCTGGGTGAATCAGTTGGTTAAGTGGCTGACTCAATTTTGGCTCAGGTCTTGATCTTGGGATCATAAGTTTAAGGCCCAAGGTGGGCTCCACATGCAGCCAGGAGTCCGCTTGAGCTTCTTTCTCCCTCTGCCCCTGCCCTTGATCTCTCAAATAAATAAATAAAATCTTTAAGAAAATAAATAAATAAATAAATAAATAAATAAATAAATAAATAAATAAATATAAATAGAACACAAATGACAAGGGCCTAGTACATAGAGCAGGTGCTCTACGAATGTGAGTTTACAAGTTCATAAATGCACAAATGGAAAGAATAGAGCAGTCCTCACACTTGGGGGATGTGCACCCCAGAACATTTATCCCTTTGTTCATTTTTTCAGCAAATGGTTTTTGAGCATTTGCTCTTTGCTAGGTTCTGTGCCAGGGGCCCAGGATGGAGAAGACATGGCCCCTCCCTCCAAGTAAAGTCCTGTCCATCTCTTGCAAGGCTCCTATAACCTGAAAACCTGGAGGGAACCCCTGAGTCTGGCCTTTTAGTGCCCTCCCTGCTTCAACCAGGGGTCACTGCTTCTTCCTCCCAAGTATAGGAAAGACAGGTCCCTGTGCCCCCTCCCTAGACCCTTTCGCCAAGCCCCAGAGTTGTTCATACAGAAGGTAAATCTTCCCTGGAGGCCAGAATGAAGCTTCTCCACTATGTAGGGATAGGTTGTGGTATAAAGGTCAGTAGGCTGACCATGGGGTCAGCCAGGCCTGGGTTCAAACCCCAGCTCGGCTACTCACCAGCTGTGTGGCCTCAGACAAGTCACTTAACCTCTCTGAGGCTGTTTCCTCATAAGAAAAGTGGGGATAATAATAGCACCTCTTTCCATCTCACAAAGTATCATGAAAACTAATTAAGGTGATGGGCATGAACATATTCAACACATTAGCTCTCGGATGCTTTAAGAACTCAGCTCCAAACCAGGCCCCTGGGACCCAGAGCAGAGAAGGGCAGTCTTCTCTCTGGCAGAAGGATCCAGAACACAGGAGAGAAGCAGAAGGGAGGGAAATGGAGTCCCCAGGGCCACTAGAGATGAGGCAGAAGAATTTGGAGAGAAGAGAGGTCAGGGTGGGTAAAGGACTGGGAGCGCTCCTTCTGCACCCAGAGATAGGAAATACAGAGCCCAGTCCTATTCCTTCAAGAAAGACCCCAAGAGCCAGTGTCCAGCCCTCTTCCTGCCCAGCCCCCTCCCCAGCCTGTTTCCACTACTCCCTCTCACCGCTGAGTTGAACCTCAGGTGACAGATGTTACAGGAAATGAAGAGCTTCTTCTTCAGAGGGGAAGGGACCCCAAACGTGTGGCTGATGACAGCTTTCTGGATAGGGTCCATCTGTGAAGGGGGTGGGAGGGCACAATAACTCTGGGGTCGGCTCTGGAAGTGGAGGCAGTACACAATGCCAAAAACTAAAGACTATCGAGGAGGGCAGGCATCAGGACACAGGAAGAACTTCCCCATCCTTGTGGATAGAAGACCCACAAAACGAACAGTCTCTTCCCTGGCTGACTTTCTCTGTTCGCCTGGGCTTCTGCCTGGAGGCAGGGGGATGGCCAGGGTCATCTCCATGATCATGAGAAATAGAACCATGTCCTGATGATCACCTTGGTATCTCTTGGTGCCCCTCTGGTCTCTGGGTTGTTTTTTATCCCCTCGTTCACAAGAATCATAACTATTGGGACAGAGCTGGGGGCAGGGAGAAGTAGGGAGGGGACAAAGAGTCTATGTTGGAAATCCTCTTCCATAACCCAGCCTTGTGCTGGGCCCCGGGGGCTAGAGGAGAGACAGCTTATCTTATCATCTCTGCCACTGTCACAGGGCCTGAGAGGGTGAGTGAGAGCATGGCCAGGGCAGGAATGGGGCCAGGAAGGGGCAGGTGGCAACACATGGAGGCCACCTCCATAGTAGGATTATTTCTTTGGAATATTAATTTATGTGGTTTTTTTCCTTTTCGTTATTTTAACTTTTCTTTTTTCCCTTCTATCAAACTAAGCCTTTATGTTCCCTTTTCTCAGAGGCTGCTTACTGGTCTAAAAGCAGAAGTTGTCTGGGTTTGCCTATCAAGAGGAACTCTCCAAACCTTCCTGAGAGAACAGAGGCTTTGAGAGGAAAGCATGGTTTCAGAAACTTCCTTGAGCACAGAAAGAGGTTCTAACCCTCATCTCAACCTCACCAGGCCAGAATAGTCTACAGGATGCCCCACGATGCAGGCAACCAAAGCCATACTAGCTTCCAAGGGGCTGCGGGCATGGTGTGTCAGCGAGTGATAGAAGGGACCAAAGAACAGGAGAGCCTCCCCACGTGGCTCTCAAGCTCCTGCAGACCTTTGGGTGACCCGGAGATTGGAAAGAATGGGACTCTTAAGGGCTACTGTGACTGAATTTCCCACCATCTTGTCAGGATGGAGTAGGGCTCCTTGATGATTACACCTGATGTTTCAGAATTAAAGAAAGGGGGGTACATCTTCTAGCTCATGTAGCGAAGTAAAATTCATGCTCCCTACACTTGTCATTCACACAGGTGCACATGTGGAAATACAGAGACTCAGAGTCCATGGCAGTTACAATCACAGAGCCATGCAGAAAGATACACACCCATACGCGTACAAATGGCACATTTCCACAGACAAATTCACAATCTCCCAAACCACCCACCCACCCACACACACACACACACACACAGAGGTTAGACACACACCAAATACGTACAGACTTGACACAAAGACACAAAAGAAATCTCTCACAGACACAGGTACATACATTAACTACATACAATTACCAAGGCACAAATAATTTGTTTATAAACACACACATCCACAAGTAACACACAAAGACCCTTACAGACATAAACTAAAACTGAAGGGTACACCCCAAATGCACACAGACACACACAGATCACCCATAAATGTCCCTATGCAAACACTCAAGGGTAACTTCCAGGCCCCAGGCCCAGCAGTTGTTATTGGGGTGGGGGTGACACCATCCCCATTCCTTGGCCTAAGTGAAAGCTGGCCCGGGGACCCTTGTCTGGGGAGTGCCTAGTCACTCTTGGGGATGTTGCTCCTCTGGATACCCAGCTTCTGAGAGCCAGCCCAGCTGCACCCACCTTCCCTGCCCACCCCCAGGCTCGGCTGCAAGCCCCCCACCCACCAGCCCCCCATACCGTGCTGAAGTTGGGGGTGAGACTGAGCTGGGTGGCGCCATTCAAGTGGAGGGCGAGCAAGTGCTTGAAGTCCAGCGGGGGCTGCAGAGGCCTGGCAGGCAGGGGCAGGGAGGCCAGCAGGGGGCTGGGGGCGCTGGAGGCCGGGCCTGCTGCAGGAGGAAGAAGGGCAGGGTCTGAAATGGGGGAGCCACAGGGCTCGCATTGGCCTCCATGGCCAGGAAAAGAGGCTGATGGGCTTCTTGGGCATGGGGCCAGGGCAGAAACTCTTGTCTCCCTCCTCACAGAGTAGCACTGGCTAAGCCCCAGGGACACTCTCAGCCCACTTCTGTGTCTCTTCTCGCCTCAACTGGGGGAGCAGAATCAGGGAGAACATCATTCTCAGTTCCCAGTCCCGAAGGACGCCCCTCGCATCCCCTCCGGAGGCAGCCTGAGGGCCCCAATGAACCCTAACGGAGAGTCAGGCCAAGGGAGGGGACAGAGGAGTCCTGACACACACACACCACCATGGAGACTGTGTGATGCACCGGGTTTCCATTTATTGCAAGTCAAACCCAAACCCAGGAGGCCTGGGGAAAGTCCAGCCCCCCTCCCCTCTCACTAACTGCCCCCCCTCCTGATCCCCACATCATGTACAGCAAGGCTGACAGAGAGAATGGCAAACCCATTGGAATCTGAAGGGATGTGTTCCCCTAGCTCTGTTGAGGCCCGACTCCTCCCAGGAGGCAGAAAGCCCTCCAACCCCTGGGTCAGGCTGGAGGGTGGTCCTCAGAGTTGGCCGGTCCAGCCTTGTGGTTTTACAGTCTTTGGTCTTAAAGGTCTGAGGCAAGGGCAGGGGAAGGCTAGGAACTTTGGGCGCAGCCAGACTTTGAGGAAGAAAAGAATTAGAAATAAATCCAGTCCATTGGGACTTTCCTGGACCTTCTCATTGCAAAACCGTAAGAAGTCCTTTTAGATTTTGTGTTAACAATTTGCAAGATAGGTTTATTTTACACTTACAGATGTATATGTCTATATACACAGCCATATGCAGAAGAACCTCAGGCAGCCTACCTATCAGTGGGTAGGGGAGGGAGGGCACCACTACCTCCCTTGAACTGGTAGCCTGTGCACAGAGAAGGTGCCATGCTGTGTGTCAAAACCAAGGAAAGTCATCTGCTCTCCAGTTTTGTCTGAGAAGATATGCTGCCAGGAGGGGAGCTAAGAGCCAAGAACCCATTCTCCTTTCCCTCAATCCCTCAGTCCCTGAGACCCAGTCTTCCTCTCTCCCTCCGACCAAGACTCCTCAGCTTTTCTAGGACCCCAGCGTGGGCTGGATCCAGAGGGGAAAAGGTGACCTATTCCTCACCAAACTCTGGCAAGGGCAGGAGCGATGTGGAGGGTGCCCCCAAATCCAGCATCTCTGCCAGCTCGCGGCCCAGGCTCAGCGTGGAGCGGAGGAAGCACCCGCCAGGGGGGTGGGAGGCCACAGTCAGGCGGTCAGCTTGGCCAAATCCGCCTTGGCCCCTGGGGCGCCCAGGGCGCCCGGCTGGCGGGGCGGAGGGACGGCGGCCGCCCTCACGTGAGCCGCGACCCCAGGAGCCCCTCCGCCCACCCGCTCTCCAAGAACTCCGCGGCCAGCGCAAAGTCAAACTCGTGCAGCGGCGGCCCATCCACGGCGATCTTCACCGCCGGGCCGCCCCGGCCTTCCCCGGCCCCGCTCGGCCCCCACCAGCGCAGCTCGCGGCTGCGGCCCACCTTGTCCAGGAGGCCGGCGCCCGCGGGCAGCGCCAAGGCCAGCGCGGCGAGGGCGGCGAAGTCCGGGAAGAGCTCGTGCAGCTCGGAGCGCGCGCACGCTAGCTTGGCGCACAGGGCGCGCGGGCCCAGCCGCCCCAGGCTGCGCACCACGCGCTTGAAGAGCGCGAAGTCGCCCAGCGCCCGCTGGCGCACCACCGCGGGGGCGAAGGTGCGCAGCAGCACCCGCAGCGCCCCCTCGCCGTGCGCGCCCAGCTCCTCGGGTGCCTGCGGGTAGCCGCGCGGGTCGAAGATCGCCGCGAAGGCGGTCACGGCGTCCAGCGAGGGCCCGGGGTAGGAGTCCCACAGTCCCCTCCGCATGGAGTCCAGCAAGGCCCCCCGCAGCCCCTCCAAGCCCCGCACGGCGGCCTCAGAGTAGCCGAGCAGCTCCACGCCGCGGTAGGTGCAGCGCCCACCGCCAGAGTCGGGGCAGGAGGAAGCCAACTCCTGCAGGAAGCCCTGGAGGCGCGCCCCACCCGAGCTGCGTTGTGCTTGGAGGGAGGCCGCCGCTGCCATCACCAGGGGCTGCAGCAAGGCTAAGTCCGGCTCTTCTGGCTGCAGGACAAGGGGGAGCTTCTGCACGGTGGGCAGAGTGTCCAGCAGCAGGTAGGTGAAGGCCACGAAGGTGAACTGGCGCAGGGCAAGAGCCAGTGGCCTCGCTGTAGGGGAGGTGGGGGCAGAGGCCTCCAGTGTGGGTACCAGGCAAGGCCAAGCCTCAGCCACTGCTTCCACAATAGGCAGCAGGGACGCCCAGGGCACTGGCCGCGGTCCTGCCAAGTCAATAGCTGCAAGGTCCAGTGCCGCCCGGAGCTCCGGGACCGTGTGGGAGCTGGGGCCACCATGGAGCCGGAATAGGGCGTCCAGCACGCTTTCGTATTCACTTAGGTAGGCAGGGGGCTCGGGATCTGTCCGGCCAGGGAGGCAGTGTAGCTCGGTGAGCAGTGGGCAGGCAGCCCGGAGTTGCAGGCTCACATGCCCAAGGCGGTCACTGGGGAGGCTCGAGGTGAGCCAGGCCAGCTTGGGAGCAGACACGCCGAAGGCCTGCAGGATGTCCAGGAGTTGGGCAGCAGTGGCCTCACCCTCCTGTAGCTCCACACTGCCCAGGAAGGTGGTAGCCGGCTGGCCATCACAGGGGGATACCGAAGTGGCAAACAAGGCCAGACTGTGGGACTCAGGCCAGTCCCTGGTCTCATCCAACACCAGCCCCACATACGGGGATGCCTTCAGGCGCTGGCAGGCCTCTGTGTGCAAGACACTGGCAATGGCCACCTGGGACAGCCAGGGAGAGAAAGGGAGGGACAAAGTTAGGCTTGTCCTGAGCAGGGGAGGCCTTGGGGGCAGACAGACCCATCCTGGCTTTGCTGTTACTGGCTCTGGGACCTTGGGCAAATCATTTCACCTCTCTGAGCCTGAGTTTCCTCAGCTCTGAAATCAGGCTACTACCTGCCTCTCAGCTCCTTAAAAGGTTGTAGTCAATTATAAATGTAACTTTTTGTTACACTGGCTGTGCTTGTGAGTGTAAAGATGCTTGAGGAACTATAAAGATTCTGCAGCATTTTGGGATCCCTGGGTGGCGCAGCAGTTTGGCGCCTGCCTTTGGCCCAGGGCGTGATCCTGGAGACCCGGGATCGAATCCCACGTCGGGCTCCCGGTGCATGGAGCCTGCTTCTCCCTCTGCCTGTGTCTCTACCTCTATCTCTCTCTCTGTGTGTGACTATCATAAAAAAAAAAAAAAAAAGATTCTGCAGCATTTTGTGTGTAGTTTCGACAGCATTGCCCCAGCTCTTAATCCTGGGGCTCTCCCTCCACTTTGCTGCTCGGGGATTAATTGACAGACATGTTCCCTCCTAGTTACATAGAGCCCCAACTGTATGCTCAGTTTGTCCATCTGTCATCTCTCTGTAGGATGAGATCTAGCTCCCCTCACCCTCATGCCACTCCCTAGGACTCACACAGCTGGTACCTTGGACAGAGCTGCAACTCGCACGCCCCAAGGGGCCATGTAGGTGGTATGGGGCTTGATGAGGGTCAGTGATACCCCAAAGGGAATGGAGAGGCTGTGGGTCTGGTCTTCATGGCATGAGAGCACAGGGACCTAGCTTTTCAGAAGTCACAAATCCACATTTTTATATGTAATCTCTCTGGTTTTTGTGTGTGTGTGTGTGTGTGTGTGTGTGTGTGTGTGTGTGTTTTTTAACCTGGAAACTAACTTAGGTTTTCCAAAAGCACTGTGAAAACCAACAAAATACATCTGTGGGTCAGTCAAGCCCCCAAGGTGACCAGCTTGCACCTCTGGCCTAGGCAGTGAGGGAAAGCCCCCATACCTCCGAGGACAGGGCCTGGTCTGGCCTCTTTGTGGCTGTGCCCCCGGCAGCTAGCCCAGGGCCTGGCACATAGTACGCCTCAGTGAAAGATTCTGCTGGGTGAAGGTATGAATGAAGTACTTTGGCTGCTGCCCCGGGGGCCTGGCATGCTGGCACTGCACCCAGACCAGCTCGATGTCCTCCCTCCTCAAGCCCTCCCCCACACCTCTGGCTGCCACCCACCTGCATATCCCTCACCCGCCTGGGGCTGTAGTAGTCACCATGCTCTGTGCCCAGCAGTGCCTGGCACAGGTTGAACCTCTGCAGCTCAAGCAGGGCAGAGCAGCGGTCGTCAGGTACGTCCTCCTTGGCCATGCAGTACACCGTGGTCAGCACGGCCACTTTGGCGGGGTCCACCTCCACCTTGACGCCCCTGGAGGTGGGGGTGGTCTCCAGGTCTGGGTAGGCCCCTCCTCCCTCAGCCTGACCCTCAAAAGTGGGCTGGCCCCGGTTGACGGCCAGAGCCTGGCGGTGGGCCCCCGACGTGACATGGCGCAGCAGGGCGTGGCGCTGGAAGTTGTCCGTGCCCACCGTGAAGGCATTCTCGGCCTTGCCATGCTTGTTCCGCACCAGGGCCTGGCGGCACTCAAGGCAGAACATCAGCTTCCGCTCGTAGTCGAAGTCCAGCCAAGGAAACTCCTCCTTCCAGTGCTCATTGAAGTAACGCTTGCACTTCTTGTTGGAGTTGGAGGCCTCTCCGGCTGGTTTCTTCCCTGGGGGCACCATTCCTGCTCGAGGGGCAGGGCACCCCCAACCCCCACCCGAATGCTCTGGGCCCCCAGCCTCCCCCTGCACACAGCAGCACCTCCCTTGACAATGGAAGCTGGTGGGGAGGCAGGAGGGGAGCAGCACGCCAGGCTAATGGGGACCATCCATCTAACTTAGCGGGGGAAGTTTATTCCCGCGCCGCCGGTGGGAGACTGGAGATGAAAGAGACAAGGGAGAGGTGTTAGGGGGCCCACCATGGGTTCATGCTGCCCGCAGAGCACTCCCCAACTGACGAATGGACTAGACCGAATGGGGAAGGACTACTGGGAATGAGTGGAGTCATGCAAAGGGCCATAGAATTTTATCCAAAGTTGGGAAGGCTTAGGGGCCCCAGCCCACTCTGAGGGTCTCCTTCCAATCAGGGACAAGGCACTGATTTGCTTTGATTGTTGAAGTATGTGAGAACTCAGCTCTGGAAAGACTGGCATCATCTGTCCAATCACATTTTATACGTGGGGGCACTGAGTCCAGGTCCAGGACAGCAGTTCTTAGGGCTCGTGAATGATCTGTGACTGAACTAGAACTGAAATTCAGACCTTGACTCCTCATTTAAGGGATGGCCAGTCTCTCCAGTCCACAATCATTTATTTCATCAGAATGAAGTTAGCACAAAGCTGAGCTCTCAGAGCCACGGGGCCGAGGAATGGTATTTGTTTTCTCTGGATCTCCCTTCCCTAAACTTACACACGAGTGCATTCACACGCACACATAGGCACCCCGATGGTGTGGTTCTGGGAAGGGAAGCCCAGAAGTGGGGGCCAGGCCCCAGACTGAAGGAGCTAGCTGGTTGCCTGTACCTTGCTCACTCTTCTACCACCCCAGGCACGAGGCCAGGTGAGCCGTTCAGGACCAAAAGGCCACGTCCAGCCAACGGCCAAAACTCCTTATTATCCCTCAACCTGTCCCCTAAATGTCTACTACTAACAGCAGCAGTGACCACCATTTGTCAGCTGTAAACCAAGTCAGGTCTTATGCTAAGGACTTTGCAGTGACTACATGAGAAGACCAAGATTACTCTTGCAAGTACTCTCTGAGGGTGGTATCATTCTCATTTTGGAGAAGAGGAAACCAAGGCTGGGAGATTTTAAGTGCCTTGCCCAGGGTTCCACAGCAGTAACTGGGTGAGACAGAGTTAGTATCTACGTCCACTTGACCCCAGAGGCCACGCTGAGACTCTAGCCTGCACTATCTCACCTGGATTATGCATCTACCTCCACCTCTGCAGTCAGCCCCCAAATTCATCCCTTGCTCAGCATCCAGAGAGCAGGCTCACACACGGATCGCTCCCTTGCTTCCACCTCTTCCCTGGTATCCTAAGTAGTTGCCTGAATCTACACACCTCACCATGAGCCAGCGAGGCCCTCCCCAGCCTCCTGCTGCTCCTGGCTGCAGGGCCAGCTCCAAAGGTTTACCATTCCCCCCACACACCCAGCTGTTACTCTGCTCCTGCCTTCATCCTCTGTGCCTGGAATTTCCTATCCCTCCTCCCTGGCTAATTCCCATGCATTCCTAGAGAGCAGCTCCGCATCCCCTCTGCCACCCTGATCCCACCCCCAACCCCGGCTGGTGCCTGTCCTCTAGTATCCCATACTTCTCTGTGTGGGGGTAATACAATATGGTAAACCCAGGGATTCTCTGTGTGTCTCTGCACTTGGTTCCTGGAAGGCGAATATCACGTTTGTTCATTTTTGGATCCCGTACAGGGCTCAGCATGCAGATGCCTTTTGGCAAAAGTGTGTTGTTTAAGAGAATGGAAGGACAGATTTGGGCTGTATGAAAGAATTTCCTGTTTCTGAGGCTATTGGTTAGAGGACTGTGCTCTGGGAAAGCAGGGACTGTCTTGTCCTCCTGATAGACATACGTAGCACCCTTCAAGGAACCTAGCACTTAGTAGATAAGTAAAACGAGGGCAGATGAACAGAATTCCAGGGGCAGCCTGTTCAGTACAAGGGAAGTGCCAGATGCAGTGAAACTCATCAGTCCTCTTCCCTTAGATGCCAAGTGGCATTTGGTACTGCTCACCTCACACTCCTTGAGACATGCATTTTCCTTGACTTCTAAGACCCTATGTCCACTGTCCCCATCAGCACTCCTCGGCCTCTGATGTCATCCCCTCCTCCTCTTCCTAACCTAAAACTGTCCCCAAATTTCAGAACCACCTCTGCTGGTCACCCTGAAATAACCCCAGCCCCAGCCACTCCTTTAGGCATCACACCTCTTGATCTAATCACTTTTGTGGCTTGTCTAGACGGAACTATCAGTCTGTCACTACAAATATGCTCCTTTCCTAGTCATCCCCAGCTCAGGAGACACATGCTTTCCTACCCAGATGCTCTGGCCAGAAACCTGCCCCTCCAGCCCCTGCTCTCTTCTACATTGTGGATCTGGTCTATCCACAGGCTCTCTGAGCTCCACCTCCACCATCTGCCCGTAACTTGTCTCTTCTCTCTATGCCATTGCCACCAGCCTCATCCAGGACATCCTGCATCTCTTGCCTGGACTATGGCAGTCTCTTCTGGATGGCACTCTGAGTTTCCACTCTTACCCCTCTCTGAGCAGGTGGAGGGGGCTTTTGAAAACATACTGCTCAAAGCCCTCTGTGACTGCTTGTTCTCTGGAGGCCAGTGCCAGGATCCCTTTCAGGGTCAGCTAGATGCCGAGGCATTGCTGACCTCTCTGGTAGCCATTTGTGCCTCTCTCCCCTTCCAGCTACACTAGCCTTCCCTCAGTTCCTCCAGAGTGCCAGGTTCCCATCCCCAAGGCCTTTGCACATGCTGTACCTTCTTCTAGAATGTTTCCAACTCCTCTGGACACTGCCTATTTCACTTCCCCTTTGGTCCCCTCTTTCAAGGAGACTTCTTTATCCTCTCCCAGGAGATCCCTTTCTTTTCTGTCACTGTTTTCTGTTTGTTTCCTCCATTGTATACCTCGGGGTTTACAAATCTTATTTTCTCCAATTTCTATTGCTTGGCACTCTCTCTCTCTCTCTTCTTCTTCTTCTCCCTCTCTCTCAAGAATGCAAGCTTCTTGAGGGCAGGAAAGGTAACTAACTTCACATCTGAACCTCTGAGAAGGAATGCTGCCTGGCACCCTGCAGGTGCTCCACAAAATTTGGGGAGTGAATAAGGAAGCACCAGTTTTCAAACAGAAAGAAAAACGGAGTGGGGCCTTGGGCACCTGTTGGGTGGTTAAATCAACTGCTTTTGACCTCCTTTCCTCCCGAGATCCCATGATTCTGTGACCCTGTCCAGTCCACCACCATCCAAAGGATCTTAGGATGGAGAGAAGGTGCAACTCCAAGGGGGTACCCTTCAGAAATTTGTCGACTCCTTTCCATATACCTAGAAACCGGCTATCCTGCCCTATTCTGCAGAAGGATAAAATTACTATGGGACCTAGGATTTTTTTTTTAAGATTTTATTTGTTTATTCATGAGAGACACGGAGAGAGATGCAGAGACACAGGCAGAGGGAGAAGCAGGCTCCATGCAGGAACCCGACATGGGACTTGATCCTGGGACTCCAGGATCACGCCCTGGGCCAAAGGCGAGCACTAAACCACTGAGCCACCCAGGGATTCCCCAGGATGTTTTTGATTAAAGAACAAAAGAGTAGGCACTCTGGGAGGATGTATGGAAAGATGGATTCTAAAACAGCACTGTAGGGCAGCCCCAGTGGCGCAGCGGTTTAGCACCGCCTGCAGCCCAGGGCGTGATCCTGGAGACCCTGGATCAAGTCCCACGTCAGGCTCCCTGCATGAAGCCTGCTTCTCTCTCTGCCTCTCTCTCTACATCTCTATGAATAAATAAATAATCAAAAATAAAATAAAATAAAACGGCACTGTCAGATATGGTAGGTAGTAACCACATGTGGCCGTTTATAATTAATCAGAATTAGAAAAACATGGGACACCTGGGTGGCCCAGTGGTTGAGCATCTGCCTTCAGCTCAGGTCGCAATCCCCGGGGTGCTGGGATGGAGTGGGGCCCCTTCTTCTCCCTCTGCCTATGTCTCTGCCTCTGGCTCTCATGAATAAATAAATAAAATATTTTTTACAAAAAAAAAATCAGAAAAACATTTTAGAATTCAATTCCTCAATCTCACTAGCCACAATTCAAGATCCCAATAGCCACATGTGGCTACTGGCTATTGTAGAAAATGGCTCAGACAGAGGACATTTACTTCACCCCCAGAAAGTTCTATTGGACCGCACTGCTCTAAAACAACCCAGCCGAAGCCATGGACAACCTGAGGGAACCAGGCTAGCTGCTGGGGTGGGGTGCAGACAAAAGGTGACCAGGAGGGCGCACCTGTCAGACCCAGGCCCCTCACCTCTCGGCACGCTGCGCACCTGGTGGTGAGCCGCCACAACTCGTGGGGCCCTGGGGTGACTGCGTACCGGTCGGCCCTGGCAGGTCAGCCTCAAAGCGCTCCTGCGGCCCTAGGAGGGCGTCCGCAGCCTCCTCCCAGAGCCCTTAGGGAGGCGCCAGGGGCATCCGGCTCTGGGCGGAGGCCGAGGACCCGGAGGTGGGGGCTCCCCGCTCGTCCCGGCCGGGACGCGGAGGGCTGGGGAACTTCCTCTGGGGGGCGCGTGGGGGGAGCCCTCGAAGGTCCCGGAGCCCCCCCCAGCTCCGCCCGCGCCGCGGCCCCGCCCGCAGGGCCCCCGCCGGTCCCCCGCCCCCCCGGCCGGAAGCTCCGGGAGGGGGGGAGGGGGGAGGGGGAGGGGGCGCCCCGCCCGGCCCGGGCTCCGCGCCAGCCGCACTCACTCACGGAGCCTCGGGAGCCACCATCTTGCGCGGTGGACGCTCTGGCCGCGGGCTCCTCGGGCTCCGCTGAGCGACAGCAGCCACTAGCGGTGCCGGGGCGCAGAGGCGCCAGCAGCGGCGAGGGCCGCCCTCCCTGCCCGCGCCCCGGGGCTCACCTGCCGCGGCCACCCGCACCCGCACCCGCACCGCACCCGCACCCCGGGCTG